TACATTCAGGGGGTAAATCTTTACTTATTTTTTCCCTGATTTCTTTTCGAAATTGCAATTTTTCTTACTTTTTCTCAATTTGATGCAATCATAATTATTGTTTATGACTTTTTTAGTTTTGCAGTTTCATATTATGCTTGAAAAATTTGTATTCCACTAACTTTTTGTTTTGCTCTCAGTATATATGTATGGTAGAAGGTTGTGTAAATATGTTATTTTATTTATTTTTAATTATTTAGTTTTAGTCGAATAGTCACTCATTTGGCAAGCTAATTAAATTAAATTATCTATTATTTTTTCGTATTTGATGAACTTTCTTTATAAAATTAAAAGAATTGTGAAAATTAAGACCATATTCTGTTTTTTTTTTCTTTGTATAATTTATTCATCTATTGTTATGAGTTTTAGTCAGTTATGGTATACTTAGAAGGGATGATTAAAGAAATAATATAGTTATGTCTATCTAATTTATGTAGTGTGTATTCCTCCATATTTAAAAATATTATTTGGTATTTTATATTGTAGAGTAAAAAATGAAGATACTGTAAAACTTTGTAAAAATGATTACATGAACTTTTTAAGTTGTTATGTTTTTTATGTTTATTATATTCATGCTTTAATTTGATTTGAAGTATAATATGAAAACTATTGAATGGTGATCGGCTTGTGGAAGTGTATTTTTTTTTTTTTTTTTTTTATGAATAAGATCATAGGAATAATATTACATTATTTTACTTTTTCATATGTTCTCTCTATGATTTCTCTTTATTTTGTATATTATATAATAAATAAATATGTCAATTAACCATTCATTCATATTATTTAATGTAAAATTTAATGGTCTTTATATTTATCACTCCCATAACTTTTTATCCTCATAATCCCTAAAATAATTAATAGTCATATTCATGACAATATTTGATATTTGATATTATAGTGTTATAAATTGAGACAGCCTAAGACATAGTAAAAATATCATATTATTGCCTTTTTAAGTTATGTTTCTGGTGCTTATTATATTCATGTTTTTGGCTGATTTGAAGAACAAAAGGAAGGCTATTTGTATGGTGAACAATGTGGGGGTGGACGTCGTCACGTTGAAATGAAATCGAATAATTATGTATTAATTTCATATTTTTTTCGTCTGTTTTTAAATGATTAAGGTCATAAAAATGATGTAGCATTATTTATTTATTTCGTACGTTCTCTTTATGATTTATCTTTATTTTATATTTTTTATGAATATTTTATTATCGTATGTTTGATATCTTATCGTCTTTTATAGACAAATTCACTAGTATTTTAATAAAAATCATGACATTGACCAATTGATTCGATTTTATTGCCAACAATTCGATGTAACTAATGAGATAATATACACCTTAATTAATAATTGAGAGGTTTGAGTTTCCTTCTCATTATATATATTTCTTTTGACTTAATATAATTCATAATCAATTCTTTGAAATTTTAATGATATAACATCTAGACAGTTAAACTATGTTTTGTTTCAATTGAACACACCTTAACTCATAATAAAGTGTTCTAATGCACTTTCGGATCAAAATATGAAAACCTTTATTTTTCATGTTTTTTCATTTGTCTATTAGGTAGTTAAGTTAACATTTAATTTTATGCATTTGTCTCAATAAACCATAAAAATCCAGACACAACCTACTAGAAGTTGATGCGTATAATTAAAGATGATGACACATTTTATGTGGTTAATTTAACTATATCCTAAAGATGAATGAAAACACAGGCAAAATTTTTTAAAAAAATTGAATTGAAATTGTATAATCGGAACACTTTTTAGGAGTTGAGGTGTTCAATTAGAACATGACTTAGTCTGAATGCCTTATATGATATATAAATTTGAGCGTCTGTTTTTTCGATGAATTTTTTTTCCTATCATATCCTATCATATATGTACATACATAAGCGCTAGCTTTCCGACAGAAATTCAAATTTTGTGAAGGATACATTCTTGAGGTACATAGATCCACCCATCTTCATTTTTTTTAATTCATAGGTCAGTAAATTTTTTGTCTATTTCTTATGTAATATTAATCGAAAATATAAGTTCCATGTCTAATTCCTGAGCTTATATAATATGTATATTCAATGTATAATCTATGTATATCACTTGCAAATTAAAAAAGTAAAGAATATTGAATTTGCTTGTTTAATTTTTATTTTTTATTTTTTTTATAACTGAGAAATTCGTCTGTGACCTGCCCTTTGGACCAATCACAGCCTTCTAAATTCGGTGGATAATGGGCCCGCCCCTCTACCCTTCTCCACTTGAATACTGGGTTTCGCTTTGCATGGTGTGGAGCGACCTAAGCCACAAATTCTCCACCTTTTGCCACTTGAGCTAGCCCTTGGGGGCTTAATTTATTTGCATAAGCTAACATTAAAAAGACAAAGTTGAGGTACCCATCCATTACCTATTTGGTAAGCTAAGGCAACAATATAGTTGTCAGTTTGTAATGTAAATTTGGGTGAAGAAATTGCTAGCCAAGAAAATATTTGGGTGAAAAAAAGATTCCATCCTTTCTATCTCTATACAACAAATATATCCAACTTGCTTAGTAATGATCTCAAATTTGCACACACAAATACATACCTCTAATTCTTCTATCTATTCATGAATATAATAACATCATGATAAAGTAGGCATGGCATGCATGATGCAATAAGATTCTCAAAACAAAATAGTACTATAATAACTGTGGACAACATTATGGCACATTAACTTTGGTGAGATATATGATCATTGACGGATCGATTAGAATTTTCGTTAAAGAGAATCAAAATAAATAAATACATGAAGTAGCTAATAAGAGAATTCAATATATAGTACAAATACATTAAAAAGAAAAAAACTTTTTTGAACTATCTACACAATTTAATTTTTCGACGAGAACGAAGTGGTTCAGGTAGAGATTCGTGGAAAGGGATAAGTAATATAATTGTATGATTAAAAAAAATGATTCAACCCTCTAGGCTATTTAATTTGAACAAAACCTATGTTGATCATAACTCTTCTTAAGGTTTATCAAAAAAAAAAAAAAAAACTGCTTAAGGTAAACAAAACAATCAAATATATTTTCCTTAAATTAAGGTGCCGATAAGTTTGCAATAACTTTCTAATAAATAATTTTCTTAATTACTTTTTTAATATAATGACTTAAAAGTACATGTTCGATCCTTGATTATTGACAAATTTTAATTTTAGTCCTTAAAATATTAGCGGTCCTTTGAAGGTAGGTTAGTTGATCATGAAGAAATTATTTTTTGGATTTTAGGAGATGATGGAATTTGGAAGACACATATTATTCTTGATTTTCCCTTTATTGATCATAAGAATGTGCGTTTTTGTGGCCAGACATATTATGATGGGGAAATTATATTCGTAGTTAAAGTCAATAAATTCTATTATTTCTGTTATGATATCACGAGAAAAAGTTGGAGAAAATGTCAAATAGAGGGATTTTATGAAATGGATTGGATTGGAAGCATTCATACATGTGTAGAAAGCCTCTATCCCGTTGGAAAAATATTGCAGCAATGATTATCAACAAGTTCAAACTGAGTTCGAGCAAGACATATAAAGATAGTTTTGAGATCTTTTTCCTTTTTTTTTTTTTTTTTGAGTATTAGCAATGTACCTTATTATAGACATTTTCCTTATGTTGATGATCTGTTTAGCTATTCATTAGGTTTTGAATTAAAAGAAAAGGTTTTTCCTGAAATATTGTTTTCGAATTAGTATTATTTTTGGGAAAATTGTATATAATAGCAAACTATTAATTCAAATTAAATGTCATAACCACAGTTTGATTTAATTGTACCCCGTAGCAAACTGTTGTTATTTCGCCTCTCTCCCTGGTGAATCTCGCTCACCACTCTCGGCAGTCTCTCCCTCGCCTCTCTCGCTTTATACAAACAGAAATGTATAAATTGTGTTTCTGTTTGTATAAAGTGAGAGAAAATTGTATATACACATGTTCTGTTTGTATAAAGCGAGAGAAAATTGTATATATATATGTTAGCCCCTCTCCTAGATGTCGCTCGCCACTCTCCCAGATCTCGCTCACCAGTCTCTCCCTCGCCTCTCTCGCTTTATACAAACAGAAATGTATAAATTGTGTTTCTGTTTGTATAAAGTGAGAGAAAATTGTATATACACATGCAAATACATATATATTCGTCCTATACATTATAATTATACAATACAAATATTCTTCTGCCCAGTTCTCTTTTGATTTTCTCTCTTTCTCGCTTTATACAAACACATATTATACAATTGATTCTTTTGTATATGTATACCAAAACATATTATACAATTGTTTCTTTTGTATATATGTATAGCGAAATAGCCAGCTTCTTTTGTATATATGTATAGCGAAATAGCCAGCTTCTTTTGTATATATGTATAGCGAAATAGCCAGCTTCTTTTGTATATATGTATAGCGAAATAGCCAGCTTCTTTTGTATATATGTATAGCGAAATAGCCAGCTTCTTTTGTATATATGTATAGCGAAATAGCCAGCTTCTTTTGTATATATGTATAGCGAAATAGCCAGCTTCTTTTGTATATATGTATAGCGAAATAGCCAGCTTCTTTTGTATATATGTATAGCGAAATAGCCAGCTTCTTTTGTATATATGTATAGCGAAATAGCCAGCTTCTTTTGTATATATGTATAGCGAAATAGCCAGCTTCTTTTGTATATATGTATAGCGAAATAGCCAGCTTCTTTTGTATATATGTATAGCGAAATAGCCAGCTTCTTTTGTATATATGTATAGCGAAATAGCCATAGCAAACATAAAATTTGCTATGAAGCACAATTATGCAAACTATAGGTATAACATACAAATATAATTTTTGTGTTTGCTATATGTGAAAAATTACTCATGCTTTGGACCATGAAATTGCATGACTTGATCGAATTTATTTATGTCTGAATAATGGGCCATCAAAAACCAAATTAATGACCCCGAAAGGATATTTGTCCATCCAATTTGATGTGAAAATCCAAACGGAGCCCCGAGTTAGCTATATATAGACGCAGTCGGTTGCGTGAAATTCAATTCAACGCATTGAAATTTTGAAGATCTGTAAGAATTCTGGAAAAGAGATTTAAGCATACAAATAGAGAGAAGAAATGGCACAGGCGAGTAAAGAGCCCTGTAAGAAACAGGCTTGCGATATTCAAGCTTGTCTTTCCAAGAACAATTTCCTTCCTCAAAGGTCTGGCTCGATACCTAATTTATTCTTTTATGTTATTAGAAATTCAAGTTGGTCTATGAGTATATCAGGAATATGGTTGTACAATTATACCAATATGCATAAATCTATGTCTCTGCTTTTTAAGCAAGTATATAATATCACTGTCCACCTTTCGACGAATCCAGTAACGTTTGCCTGGGTTCTGTATTGTATTGACAAATTCATTAAATTCCGAGTTGGGAACCTATTTAACAAAGTCTATAGTTGGTGGATGTTGCTTGAGACCTCAACCACTTTCATTGGGGGTAGAAGAAACTAAGAATTGTTTGATGCTCCAGCAAACCAAATTATTCAGAGGTGAAAAGTCATATATTTAGTGGCCTTTGGATAGTAGTTGTAACAACCTAGAGAGAGTTGCTTTTCCTGTAAAGTGAGTTGTAGCTGAACTGCCACTGCTCTACCGGAATGTGAAATCAAATTATGTTCCTACTGGATGTGTCTGCGAAAACACCCGAAACCTACTGGCTATTAAAAACCTTCTGCTTTTTTATATGAGGAGATGTACAGCAATGAATTTTAAAAGGATCCATTTAAACAGTCTTAACCCTTATGTGATGCAAAGATTAGTTACTCCTCCCACTATTTAATATCATAGAGGATGATTGGAAGTGATGCCAAGAAATCAAGGGAATTATCATCAACCATGAAAATTGCTAGTCTACAGATTACAATATTTCACTCTGAGATCAACATACACCTTGGAGTCATTTTCTTGAATTTGTCTACTAAAGTTGCAAGAATGATTCTGTTAGCTACAATACATGAGATTTAGTCTAGGACCCAGGGAGCTTACAGAATCCAAAGATAGTTTATGCTATTTACAGAAGAGATTTACACCAGCTAAATATAGCCCTCAAGGAGTGATTTGGAGTAGGGATACCATCAAAACATCTATGATTTCTTTTTATCCAAATACACCATCAAATAGTAGCAGACGCCATTCTCCAGATATTCTTGATGGTGAACTGTATTAGGAGACAATAAAGCAATAATGTGGCTATAAGTTCCTAGACTGCGAATTAATTGACGAACCCTGATAATAGATGTCACTTCTAGTTGCTTCATAGCCTGGTGCTGCTTCTTTGACAGGTATTGGGAAAACTTCTAACATTTCTCTATCGTCCAGACACTTGCTTTAGGTCTGTACTTATCAGAAGAAAATAATAGAGAACCTTTTAAATACCTCTTAAGCAGATTTCTTTTGAGTATCTCAATGAAAATAATCCAACTAGTGTGGAATATTTATCGAGGATTCATATAGCTGACTGACTGCCCTGAACTAGTTTGGAATTAAGTTGTAGTTGTTATTGTTGTTGTTCTCTACATCTGTGTGGCTGCCTCCATCTGCAATATTATAATTTTAGCTAATAGATCCATAGGCACATTGCATCCCTTAAAACTTCTTTAAAGTTTAATTTATGTTCAAGTACATGCTTATTTAGTGAGTAGTTTGGAAAGCTACTAGCTTAGCTCAACCCATAAGTGTGTAATATTTTTACTGACTTATCCCATTTTACCTGTGTTGATAGGTGTGTAAAAGTGATCGAAGCATTGAAATATTGTTGTGAGCAATGTGAATACAAGTCAACGCATTGTGCTTCTCTGTCTGGGCTGCTTAAGCAAATACAGAAAAATTAGAGTTTGATGGCTACAGTTGGCTTCAGACTTCAGATAATACCATATCCTGGTTGTGTTGCTTCTCAGAGCCAAACATCTTGTGACTTTATGGACGTTCTCAATGCAATCAAGAAAGCTGGATCACTACTCTAAGTGATTATTGATTTTAGTTTCATTATTAGGAATCTGAGTTTAGAAGTTGAGAATGTATTTCAGCTGTATGACACAGTTAGCATAGCTGTTGAACCTCATAAGCGAGCGGCATACTTAATTTCTTTAGCAAATAAATAGTAGAGGTGGAGATGGTTGTGGCGAACTGAACTCATTGTCTCATTTAGACCAGCTTGCCTTGTATACACAAATAGAGCAAGATATCTCAGTCGGCATCATATATTTTACTATTCACAAGAAAAAATTAGAATGAAGCAAAACATAAGTTTGGATATTAGCACATTTGATGCCTAGAGTCGATATATTGGCTCGATTTTTGGTAACTTGGTTCAATAGGTAAACTTTTTTTCAAATTATTTCAACCCACCAATTAAAAGCAATCCCATGTTCAACAAGGACTCGTGCTAAAGTTGAACTGCTTGTGTTCTTGTCATATTTTGCAGTAAGGATTGCTGAATGACACGCTGCTCTGGACTCTAGAGTATATTAATATATATTACTAACTGGCAGAGTGTAATCACTACAATTGCATAGTTCTGTAGATTTTCATGGCCTTGGTAGAAAACCGCTTGTTACTCTTCACTACATATAACAAAAAGCAGTCCATAGAATACAATTGGTGTGGTTTCGTCTCTTCTTGGGAGAAGAAGAAGAATTGAGCAGATGAATTTGTTCCTGTACCAGGTGAAAAGAAAAGAGAGGAAAAGGAGGGAGGCCAAGAAAAATAAAAGAGGAACACAAATATCACCCTATGATCTCAAAGAATCTTGCCGCTTCAAAGGAATACCTTCTTGTCCAAAACCATCCTCCTCATCCGTGTGCTTGGGAAGTCGCACAGGTAGCGTTGGGGGACCTGTATTGGATTCCACAATAGACAGCATGTTACTTGGAAACTACCCATGTAGTAAATGTATATGGAGTGTACAAGAATACCAACTTAAAACCCAAAGAGCTTACCATCAACCATGTCTTTAGTTTTGTGAAGAAGAAAAGTTCCAGAAAGAATAGTCACAAACCCACACAATTCTGTTACTATTTGTGTTGGATTTTGCCTATCCCAGTCCTGTTCACACAAGTTATGAGACGAATAAGGAAATTTGAAGCATATCATGAGGATTTTTTTTTTTTTTGAAACTGGTAACTAAGCATATCATGAGGATTAAATAAGGATTTTAAGTACAAAAATGAAAAACAAGCACTAGAAAAATGCATCAACCTCCTACATTCAACATTTAGGTACCAGAAAACCCAATAAATGGTTTGCCAATTGGATATGTTCAATTCAATGCTTAATCTTGGTGTATACACTATAGTTCCTCTAAAAAGAAACAAATAAGAGGACTTGACCATACTTGACCCCCAATTGGAAGAAAGCATAGGATTCATCATATTATACTTCAGAATAAATAGATAGGCCAGAACAGAAAAATCAATTCATAATGACACTAATACTTTGCAACATACACTACTGAGAGGAGTTACCTTGAACATGATGACACTGGCCAAAATAGTTAAAGAAGTAAACATGACATAGTATATCGGTGAGACAACAGCTGTATTAAATGTGTCGAGCGCCTGCATTGACGAATCACCAAAAAGGGAAGGTGAGGATTATCACAGATGACAACAGGGTAAATATGCTTTGCATGTGAAAAATCAATAGCTTCAATTAGCAATCCCGGAATAATTGTTGTATTATTTTTACGCCATACCTGAATGTCGGATAACAATTCCAGGATTACAATCCCGGGATAAAAAATAAAATGACACATTTGCCTTTCTCTATAGCTTTTCTCCCAAAATTCTTAAGAAAGATTAGTTTACGATTGTAAATAGAATTTTATATCAACATGCCCAATTTAAACCAAACACGTGTGTCATATTTTATTTTTTATTTTATTTTTTATGACAAGGGAAACCCGCAGCCGCTACCCTTTGGGTGCGCACAGGATAAAACCCCCGCTCCTATGCAATAGCTCGCAAACCACATAGGAGAGGTAAACCGCACTAGGCAAGCCTGGTGCGACGAGCTCAACCCAGAAGGCAAACCCCTTGCTTTCGCTGGCAAGGGGTTTCGAACTTGAGACCTCCAACATGGAAGTAACACGTGTGTCATATTATACTCTCTATATATCTCTGTCTTAGTCCAATGAACCTAACATCTAGCAATAAGACTATATCCACTGAATAATCCAGTCACTATTTAATACCTGTATTGTAATCCCATCACTATAATCTCAAGATAAATTGTTCCCCAACCAAACGACCACTAAGATTATTGAGGCTCTTTTAATGTACTGAATATTTTGTCTTTGCAACTTATATTTTTTTTGATGACAAGGGAAACCCGCAGCCGCTACCCTTTGGGTGCGCACAGGATAAAACCCCCGCTCCTATGCAATAGCTCGCAAACCACATAGGAGAGGTAAACCGCACTAGGCAAGCCTGGTGCGACGAGCTCAACCCAGAAGGCAAACCCCTTGCTTTCGCTGGCAAGGGGTTTCGAACTTGAGACCTCCAACATGGAAGTAACACGTGTGTCATATTATACTCTCTATATATCTCTGTCTTAGTCCAATGAACCTAACATCTAGCAATAAGACTATATCCACTGAATAATCCAGTCACTATTTAATACCTGTATTGTAATCCCATCACTATAATCTCAAGATAAATTGTTCCCCAACCAAACGACCACTAAGATTATTGAGGCTCTTTTAATGTACTGAATATTTTGTCTTTGCAACTTATTACTTATAAAATGAATTTTGAAATTTGAATTTCGTATTACATGTTAAGTAATTGACTTGCTCATTTTACTACAACATTTTGCCTTTAGCTGAAGCTTCATCATAGAAGTAAGATCTCAATCCAAAGTGAGCATGATCCTAACCTATATTATCCGCATTCTTAGATCACAAGACACTCCCAAAGAAGATAAAAATACATCTAAACTTTGAGTTAATAATACAAAAAAAAGAACAATTACAAAGTGCATTTTCAACTGGGAAGACAATCATAAAGCACAATGTTGATAAATCATGAAATCATAGAGTTGTGAAATGATTTGTAATTACAGCAGAGAGGTGATATTCTCCTTTATGAAAACAAAACAGATTAGCACATAATTGCTTATATTCGTTTCAGCAATGAAATGTTGTCTGAACCTACCCGTCTCACCCACATAAAACTATGTTCCAAGAGCAAGTAGGGACTACAGCATGCAAGATTAACGGAAGAAATTTGAGGACAAACAAGGAGACAAAAAGAAGGAACAACTCTCACCTTATTTAAGTAATTCATTTGGGTGATAATACAGACAATGACAATCATAGTAAACGCCCAAGTCTGTGGATATATTAGCTGATTCATTCCTGATAAGGTCAACTTCAAAGCAATGCCAATTGCTTTTACACTCATAACCTGTTATAGCAAGCTAAATTTCCATTAGAAAAAAACACACGTGGAAGTTGGAAAACTCAAAAGCAATATCATTCAGATTGGAAAAACTAAGATAGTTACAGTCACATACCGATAAAGAACCTACTAGCGAGCAAACTCCAATATAAAACATAATGTGTGTCTGCCCATATTGTGGAAGATAGTGAAATATGAGAACTAGGGAAGTTGTTATCACCATAGCAGCATAGAAGAGAAAAGCTGCAGGTGAGCCAAAAGGTGCTTAAGGCCTTGAGCTCCAAAAGATTTGATTAACGAAAACAAAACAGCTAACATCACCCGTATGTAACAAGTAACTACCTGGCTCAGTAGCAAGATCCCACACTTCTATCACAGATTCAATCTCACGTTCTTGTGGAGCGTGCAACACAATTGTGATGGAACCAACAACACATAAAGCACAACCTAAAATTCCAAACGTATGTAGCCTCTCCCGCAAAATAACGTGTGCAAGGACAGCACTGAGTATACAACATCATCAATACTCAAGATTATAAAAGTCAAAATTTGAACTAGCTATGAAAATTACACAATACCTTATTATAATACTGAGAGCACCAAGAGGAGTCACCAGAATAGCAGGGGCAAATGCATAAGCCGCAAAATTAGCAACCTCTCCAACAATCACTGTTGGAAATAGAAGCTAGATGTTAGAAGCATATCTTCAATAGAACTAAACACAGTTCAGATAAACCAACTGCTAAAAATATCAAAAGAAGATTAACATTTGCACGTCAGACAGGATAAATGTGCAACAGTTTTCACAGCTCCACACAACATCTTTAACAAAACTTCAAGAACAATGGAAAACAAGGTGCAACGAACACCTGATGAAAACCAAACTTTTTACTATAGTTCTCCTTGTGGTTTTTTTTTGTGTGTGTATGCGGAGGATGGTTACATCACACTTTTTAACCTGAGTCCGAAATCCAGCTTAGTTAGAAAGCCATTAACTAAACCTAGCTCAGCTAGAAATTAACCAAGTAGATGGGAAGAGGAGTGCACCTTGCAATTAGTTAATCTACACATCATGATCCATAATGGCACTTCCTATAAATCATTTTAAAAAAAGCTTTGATCGATGAACAAGTAAGGAGAAGCCATGGAGCTCCTGCGCAGAGGACTGCTACACAAACAACTTCATCTTTATTAAGTAAGGCCATGCCTAAAAGGCTAAAACAATTATGAGAACACAAGAAATAAAATGGTAACTAACACCAAGTGCCACCAGATTTTGGTCAACTGAACTCCAAAAGAAACCAGAGAATGTTTTTTAATATAACAAATATGCAACTTGAAGGAAAACAGCATCCCCAAGCTTGTTGCAGAAGGGGGCAATCACATGAAAGAATAGTAGTCCATAACTCACTTGTTATCATGCCCACCCACCAGAGTGGCTCAAAAAGATATGAGTATCCTCCAACTCCTGTAAAAATATATCAATGTCAAGTCACAGAAAATGTGCATCTGAAATGAATAAAGGAACATCGTGAACTGTAAACTAAATTAGTGATGGAAAACATTTAATCATATCTTAGATTCTTTAATCATTTTTACGCTAGCAGTTAACCTACCACAACCCTCCTTTAATAGAAACATATAAATCTGGAAAAACTTTTGACGGACATATGAAAGAATGAACATCACATGCAAAACTTTAAAATCATAACTTAAAGACTATTTAACGTTAAGCGCCTTGCCACTATTATGACTCGAGGTAGAAAGGTAATATATAATCATTCAAACAAATGTTTAGGGTAAACAACTGGCA